TTTAGACTGACATCAGGGCCTTCCATTAGAAAAGTCGCAAATAAAGTCAGAGATTTACCATTTTTACGCAAATAAAGTCAGAGATTTACCATTTTTACGCAAATAAAGTCAGAGATTTACCATTTTTACGCAATGAATGTTTGGTAAATATGCGATTAGGAAGAAAAGAAAACCTTTTCGCTGACTCTTTTTGAGAACTTCCATGTGACTTCAAATTCTTTTATGTGAAATAATGTGGTCTTTTTTTTATAATTGATAAATTGATTGTGAGAAATATTTTAGATCAAGGTCAAGATACAGTAACTGGGCTATGTCTTAGATTTTGGTAAAATTTGACATAAAACTTTGGTGACCCTGTTATTATTTTAAATCATATTAAAAATATATTTAAATCGTAAATGTATGCATCAACAACATATATTTTTGAAGAAACATTTATAGAGTTGAATTTGGAGATTTGATGATTTTCAGATAAATTTAAGAACATTTTTTTGACGATTTTATGTGCTTTCTATACTAGTGCTTTTTGAAAGAATTCAATCAGTAATATTTCAGATAATTAAAATTACAAATGCATTAATTTTTCGATTTTCAGTTATAGCTCGACGAGCCAAAGTTGCCAGTATGCAAAATTTGACCAGAATCTGTGACATAGCCCAATAACTGTAATTTTACCTTAACAGAAAGTGATTTCCTTGACGCAAATACACATGGGTGCATTGGTTTAAATTGCAGACCTATCTACCACTAGTTTCAAAGAAAAAAAAAATCTTATTACTGTTTTTTAAAACGAAAATAACTTTTGTTGTTCATAATAGAAAAAACTTAATGTATGTGGTGTATGAAAGATAATGTATCATGCTTTTAAATATACTTGTTTAAAACAATTCTCGAAAACTATGGGCCAAATTTAGGGAATTATTGTCCAACATATAGTAAAGTTAAGTATTGATACCAAAATGCACAGACAAAGCTTACCTTTTCAAAGTCTATGAAGTGGAAGTTCAGTCATGTCGGCCGAATATCACGTATAAATTTCTTTTCTCAAAATGTAAGTTCAATTTAATTTTTTTGTCATTCCAATTTTGCTGATATTGAAAGTGAAACAATAGATATTATTATAAGTAGATAACTCGTATGTTATGTTTTTAATCTGTGTGCTAGTCCGTTTAGAACTATTATTTTTAAGAACTACGTGAATACAACAAAATATTGTTCACCCTTTTTGCAATTTAGTGGATTTTCGTTCCTTATGTCCATCATGAGAAGGTAACTTCAGGATGTGTCTTGAACTTTGGCCTTGCAGCAGGTCACTTTAGGAGTTTCAAAAAAGTATCATTCCCGCTATGTCTTGAAATTTTATTTTTCTATCATCTCATAATGAAGTGCATGTATTGGTTTCATTTGTGATTTAATAGCAAACATTAGCTGGATCCTGGATCTATATATTTCTGAATACATACTTATGGCAGAGATGTATCTTAATTTACGGCAACAGTGAGAACGATGATAACAACTTCATATGCAACTGAAAAAGATCTTAAGAACAAAATGGTCTCTAGGTCTGTGTGTACTAATTTGGGGGAGAAAAATAAACATGATATCTCTACAACCTTCATTTTTATCTTTAAAATAATAAAAATCCGCAATTTGCGTTATTGTATGAAAATCCATAAACTTGGTTGTAATATATGAACAAGTACCAATTTTTTAATGTCTAGGAAGGATCAAGAGTAAAACTGTTTTCTCTCAATTGTTCTCGAATCGGACCTTGTAACAGAATAATTTCCTGCAATTACAAGACAGAAAGAACGCTTAAATTTTAGATGTAGCTCTTACATTTGAAGAATAATGGGATATTAATGAAGTTATGGTCATCTCCTAAATTAAGATATTTTAATACTAGATAGCTCAACCATGTATTTGATGTCCCTCTTTTGAGCATAGTATCCAGACAATATTCGCCATCGCGCTGTTCTTTTTTTGTCTCCATAAAAACAACTACACTTGTGAAGAGAAAGAAGCAAGTATAAAAGGTCTAAGATACGCTTGTTAATGACTACCACTATATCATCACTGCTTCAGATCACCTTATCTCTTTAAGCGAGATCCAAGTTGTATATTTTTCTATTCTGTTTAGGTCTTGGTTGTTTTTGTTCTTTTTTTTGTAATTTCGTTTGCTTTGATGTGCTTTCTTGATTAAGATTATAATGCAAGTGATAACTTGATGTGATAGTGTGTAATGTAATGATAATACAGTGTTCATATTACAATTATAAGCACCATTATGGTGACTGAAACTTTTTTGTCGGTTTATTCGTTGACCACAACAGCGAGATATGTATAATAGATATGTGTAGAAACAAGGAAGATATCATGCAACCCTAAAACTGTTAAAAAAAAAAATTTTAAATGTTAAACGCCCATTTTTAGGATGCGGAATTCAAAAGTATTGTGAATAGCATATCTGATAAGATAATGTATGATTATATAAAAAAGACATTGAACTTTACTATTTATTTAAAACAAGTTAAGTGATGTATCGGTTTTCAGCAGCCTGGATAAAAATCAATCGTTCCGAGTCCTACATTTCTGTACAAAAGATTCTGTGAGTACGAATGCAGAGTCATCCAACCTAACGAATCACTGGATCTATAAAATTATACACAAATTATCATTATATCTGTCACACATACCAATATCCTGTGTTTCTCTTATCGGCACATTTAACATGCCTTTCTGCAAAAACAAAAATAAATTTTAAATATTTGAAAAGAAAATCATCTATAATAATGATATAGCGTGTTAAAAATCACAACGGACCAAAGTCCAGAATTCTATCTTGAATGGGACTTATACTTTCGTGTTTGAGATACAGTAATTATTCTAGGCTTTGCAATTGAGAGGTGTAGCTTTTAATTTTTAGTAAAAGAAATACTATCCGTTGGTCTTGATCTAACAGGATGGCTTAGAATAATTTCTTCATTAATGCGGACCTAGGTCTTTATCTTCTTATGAAATGTATTTATTTTGATTATTATATTTACAAATGATATTTCAATTTATTTACGCGAGGATTTGTGAAACACCTATATCGAGGTTGTCAATTCTCTTTGGTTTTGACATCCTGTAGAGTTTTAATTTAAAAACTTCAAATTAGTAACAAATAAATGTATCCAAGTAAGTAAATGCACATTGTGATGTGTGTATCAAAATGACATTTTTGCATCAATATTTCTCTTATCTTAAAACTTATTTAAACTGCAACGAATCACTAACATCCGATGCAAAAGCCCTTGCCTTAAAAATATAAATAGTGAGTAAAAGTTATTATCATAATTTAAGGATTCTATGATTTAGTATTTCGATAAATCAGTTAAACAATAGTTATAATTCAGCGACTTTTCTATTGAATAATTTAACAAGTTTCATATGTACAAAGAGAGATTTGGGGAGAAGGTAAATGTGACAGCACCCCAACGACACAATAAACCAAGAGACACGATTTTCAGCAACATGCAGTTTACCAAGCTCTATAAATATTATCTAGCGGAGAGTAAAGGAGTAGGCCCGGTAAGACCCCCTTTTGGCCCCAAAATATAGCAATTTTACAAATTGTTAAATTGTAAACTTTACGCTATTTATTGGAAAGAAGAATACTTTTGCTACATTAATATTGGCTGTTTTTGAAAATACAATGCATCAGGCACTAGCATCATTAATTCATGCAAAATTACTGAAATCTTCACAATTTTAACATTTGTGCTACCAATTTAAACGGTTTTTGTCTAAAATGGAAGTGGCTGCACTTGTGTTCAGTCTTCATATTTAAATATATGTTGTACTTGATGATATTACATAACATATATAAAGGTTGAGGTTGAACACGAATGCGGCCATTTTCATTCTAGACAAAACCATCTGAAAAACTACGTTTATGGTATATTTGATAGATTTTTCAGATTTAAGCTTGAGTTTGAGCGTCTTTAAGGACCAAATCAGTTCAAATCTTTCACAAAAAAATAATTGAATCGACTGAAGTAGACACTTAAGTGTTGAAAAAATGTCAAAAATCTTTCATCTTTAGGTCAAATTAGCCCTTACCGGACTTTCTTCTTTCATGGAGATTGTCATTAATTTGTCAACACAAAAATCCACAAATGACAAAAAACCAACATTAGGATATAATTAAATACAACCACTATCGAAGATCATGACACAAGAATGTTTAGGGGCGACAGACACACAAGAATGTTTAGGGGCTAAACTAATTATTTCAAATTCAAACCCTCCCCGTGACCTTTAACCTCGATCTGCGAAATAGCAAAAGGTACATAAAATAACGTACAATAAAATTCAGTTCAGGAAAAGGACTTTACTCTATAATAACTGTATAATCGGTATTAGAAAAACACAAGTACAAGTGAAACAATGATAAACACTACACAGGCAGTTATTGAAAGCAGGATCTTTAAAAGTACTTAACCTGCTCACGTGTCAATTTGCTCGTACTGAACATGCATGACATATTTTCCACTGGACGTTAAGGGACCAAAAATCAATCAATTTATTTAAATCTATATATATATGAGGAAATATAATTTCTATTACTGACTTGCTGTTAAATAGAAATATTGACGAAAATTCGTATGATTATTATTTTTATCGTTACTAGTATTTTTAGTTTAAGATAATTATGAATATTTACATACCATTTCTTTCACGGAATTATTCTGTAAAAAATTAGTAAAAATATCAATTGATCGTTGTATTGATCAAGTTTTAAGATCTTATTCTGTATTTAAACAATTGCTGTCAGTCAATATGGAAATTAATACAAATCCAGCTTCTTGGATAGGTACATAAACATAAGTTAACGGCATTTTTTCATGATAAAAATCATAAAAAGTCCTGTAAAAGAGCTTCCCGTGGCTTGGAAGCGTCATAAGGTTGCCATGAAACAGGACAAGGTCGTGATCGCTTACCTGTCAAAATTTAAAGGCATTTAAACTGCAACAAAGAACTTATATCACGTGATTTTAACGGTATTGACAAACGTAATGGTGGTCGAAGAAGACATGAAAACGACATTTTTAACCTAAGATATAATATTTCGACAAATTTTACCTAAAACCGGTAAGTCTTAGACAACGGGTATTTATGTATTGGGCCTGTATATTTTTTTTAGAACCGTACATGCAAAAATAATAATTTTGAAATTCATTTTCTACCTGTAAATACCTGTTTCAGGTATTAATCTACCTGTACAAATATTAACTGTATTGAACATTTACTGTGAAGATAATTTTACAGATTTACTAATGAGTGTCGTTTGTGTATTGATTTCAGGTTTCCACAGTGCCAAAAAAATAGAGACCATCATATAAGCTATCCCCATTATGGTCATATACATGCGTATCCATAGAGGGGGACTACAATACCAAAAAGTTTCGCTACCGTAGCATGCTGGATTTTCTATGCAAAGAACATAAAGGCCGATATGGTATCCCCAGAATTCCAATGCGAGGAAGTGTTATGTTGTATGGATTATTCGTGTTACTCCTGTGTACGACGCAGGTATGGGGAGGGTGTACAAGCCCCTGTCCCACTGGATGTACTTGCATTCAAGTTAGTAGTAAATCATGCACAATTAACTGTTCAAAAGCTGGACTTTCTGGGGTGCCAGGGCAAGCGGATTTACCAGGCAGTGGAAATCACATAAAAGTATTGTAAGTACAAAACTGAGCAAAGAATAACACATTATAAATCCTTAAAAACGAACAGGGTTCAATTGGGAAAAAAAATAGTCTGAATAACTGGAATACTAGTGTTGACAGTTTTTGTTACTTTATTGCTGCAATTCCTTCAGTGTCGAAGTTACTTCTAGAAGCTTCAAGTATCAAAAATGGTCTAAAATAGAATTATAAAAAAAAAAATTGCCTGAATTAATTTTACACATTCAAATTATGAAAAACTGTTCCGGTGCTTTCGTTGAAACTGTCAAATTTATGTTAAATATAACAGATTTTTTATACATAGATGAAATAACATTTTATATGTTTCGAGGTTTGAGGGCATGAGAAGGAGTTATAATGAGGCGATTTAAAAATTAATTTCTCGCAAATTTTCATCGTGACTTCTGTAAACTCGTATTCTTGGGAATAGATGGTTCATTTTACAACCGATGGAATACTAGATCAATGACGGAACAGTCAAGGATATACCTACCCTACCGAAACACCTTATCTTTCCATTTGAAAGTCACCTCACGGGTTGTCTTTATCTTGCCGTATCTCTGAACATCTACCTGAATTTAAACATGATCAAGAACAGCAATAACATCATTGTTCTTCTGGTATATCTATTTTTTCACGAGTTTTGTTGTTTTGTTGTGATTCGATCCCAATTATTGTCTTTCTGTTTCACTGTTCTGACAGTACGCTCTGTATACTTAATATATGTAAAATATTTTCGCTTTCAATGTTTCAAATATCTTAATTGTGTTCTCGTCCAGAGCATGCATATAATAACCGCAACTTGACTTCAAGAAAGCAAAAATTAATCAAACCTTTTTTTTAAGTACAAATATTAATGAAATCATAAGAATCAAATCAGCAACGTCTTCAGTGCTTCTCGTTGCCTTTTTTATCGTCTTGAGTATGCATAAAATATTTGCAGCCGGACGACCACTCTCCGAATCTACAATCCCAGAACACACTTCGTGAATCTGCCTTTATTTAAATCTACAAATTTTCTTGATTTATTCCCTCTGTGTCTGGAAATAATTAGCAATTTCAAAAGTCAAAAGCCTAGAATGCCAACGCAGGAACACAAAAATTTGCCAAACGTTTATCTCGATTCACGTGGAACGTCAAATCAGAAAGATTTAAAGCAAAAAGAATAAAAAACAAATTAGCATGGAAATGCAAAAATTTCATAGCAACAATGGTTCACTCTGCTGGTGCAATTCGCTAACGTATTTGATTTCTTTAATATACATTTCATTATAAACTTTTAACATTTTAGACTACAGCCTTCTTTGGCAAAGAAGTATGGCCAATTTCTCCTGAATTTATTTCACGTCAGGGCCATTTTTATAAAGTCTTTAAACATTCTCTTAAATTTACAGTATCATATAGCTCATGCATGTGTGTTCTTTGAGGTTCTAACAATATTATGGCTTATTTCTAAGTAGATGACCAAATTATAAGATATTGTCAAATCGTAAGTGTTTATACGAAACATTTACAAGAAGGTCGTCCTTAACCAAAACCCAAATTATGTTGGATATTAAGCTATTGTCTTTCGGGTACATAGTATAAGATTTCTAATTCATTTTGGTAAGCGACGTCCATCGATGCAACATTTTACAAAAACATGCAAAATTTCCAATTTTAAATCATTAAACAAAAAATAAAAAAACGAGGCGAAGGATACCAAAGGGACATTCAAACTCATAAGTCGAAAATAAACTGACAACGCCATGGCTAAAAAAGAAAAAGACAAACAAAACAACAGTACACATAACACAACATAGAAAAACAGTTAGCTCTTATTGCCATTTTAGATTTATGGAGATATGCAAAATTGTCAAAAATGCCCATAGTATATGATAAATACTCTTTGATATTAATATTTCAGTAGGATTTGTCAACATTTACATTTTGACGCTACGAGTGAAACAAGTACAGGGGAAGTCCCCCTTCCCTCTTTAACGAACCGAGAAGGAGTTGGCTGTTCTGTGAAGGAATTTTTGTTTCGATGATCCTCTCAAACAATTTCTGTATTGGTCTTATAATTTTTGATTTCGAACTTATAAGGAAAGTTCGTTAAGGACCATTTGTCGTGCTGACAGAAATCCCTATTATACATAGATCTCATGATTATGGAATAAGGATACCAAATTCTAGAGGTTTTGTTTGAACCATTTGTTGAAACTATTATAGTAGCAATTGCACGCGAAAAGTTGGACTGATCAGACTCGATAATCAAACTTTAACAACGATAAAATGGATATCATACCCGGACAACTATGTTCTGAAGTAAAGTGTGGGAGACGAATATTGCTTACACATCAATTTCCACAACTCTGACATATATAAAAATAAATAATAACTTCTGTTAACTTTGTTTAACAAATCCATAAATATACTGGAAACATACGCAATACTAATATTCAATATTTGTATTGACGGCTTATGATGTCGACTTTCGCATAAAGCATTTTCTAACAAAATGGAGTGCTTAACCGTGCGGTTACTGCAACATCCAAGGCCTCTAAACTATTAACATGTAATATCTATGGAAATTTCTTTTAATGTTCCTTATCATTGTTTTGATCACAGTTATTGATAGGAATGTCGAAAAGGTATACCAAATATCAGTAAAATACAGTAAATACTGTATATTGCGGGGGAAAAACTGGAAAGGGTGCTTGTAACAATTCAAATGACAGATACTCCGACAAACATTTCCATAAAAAAAAAAACGTTCGGAAAAGGAAAGATTACAGAAATAAAACTAAGGGGGATACTTTATAATGGGCTTTTTCGTGGCAAGCAATACAAACACTACTGCAATTTTTTTGTGAAGTTAAAACGTGGAAAAAATACTCAGTAAGATCACCAGATACACGATGTGTCATTTTATTTATCATAAGAATCTTTCCTATGTATCAATTATTTTCCTCTCGAAATAGTTCACATTGTTGAACACTTAAAAATGTTCCACAGAAAAATTACTTTTTTCTTTTTCTATTTTTAGCCCATCTAGCCTCAAAGGCAAGTGAGCTATTGTCATAACTATAGGTGTCTGTTGTCCTTAAACTGTTTTCTCATTTTCATCTTCTTATCTGAAATCACTTAGGCAATTTTAAACGAATTTGGCAAGAATGATTTATGGGAAGTTCTCTAAATCATTTAGTTCCGATCTAACTAAAAAACTGGTAGCCAGATGCAATATTTAACAAGTAAATGTACAAAATCTACTTCTCTGAAGCTACAAGTCAAAACGTTTTGAAACTTTGCAGCATGATTGAAAGACCCTATACAAACGATATTTATTACATATTGGGTGGAAATATTGTGGTATTGTTTGCAAATAGTACAAATTGAACCATAGAGGGAATCGCATTTTCACCATTTTCACTGAAACTACACCGTCAATTTTAAGCAGACTGGATAGGAATGATGTATTGAAGGTCTTCTTCAAACGATGCTGATTTAGTTTCGATTGAACCAAACACATCTTTGATTCTGATTGGCAGATTTATAAAATCATGCCTGAAACTACAATATGAAATGTTTTGAAACTTTACAGGATGACTGGGAGATCCTTAACGAACTAAATTCCGTTTAATGTTGATCGGGTGGCAAAGATATAGTTGTGCTGTTACACCACTGTCCCAGGTCAGGGGAAGGATTGGGTGTCATCTGTTGCTGTATATCATTTTTTTTATTGTCTTGTTCTTAAATGACGCCGTTTGCTCTCTCGTTTGAATTATTTTACATTTGTAATGTCGATTTTTTTTTATAGCTTGCCATGCGGTATGGGTTTTGCTCTGTATTTAAGGCCGTACGGTGACCTATAGTTACTAACTTCTATTTGATTTCTGGGTGAAAGTTGTCTCATTGGCAATCATACCACATCTTATTTTTATATAGCGTCATTGGTGTTACATTGTTCTGACTGTCTTATTCTATGAAACCAATGGGTCAATGTAAATAAAACTCAACATGAATGATGTATAGAAGGACTTTTCCACATTTTTCTGTTTGTTTCTGAGTGGACGAAAAACTTGGCCGCTTAGTAAAGCGAATATTGATTCAATTCAATTCAATATTGGCCAATTTTCAAAAATCTTTCCCTCTGAAACTACAAGGCGAAATATTTTGATGATTGGAAGAACATCTACATTTCTATATTAACCCTCGTTTAATGTTAAATCGGGTTGCAAACATGGCGATTTTGGCGGCCAATTAAAAACTATACGGAAAGTTGGAAACTTTTTAAAATAATTTCATATGCGGCGCCATCCTATTCCATTAAAATTTTGGTTTACAAATGAATAATATGATTTATAAAGAATATTTCAGCAACATTTTTGTTGGCGCCGGGTGGCGTTATTGTTAATTTTTCAGAAAACTGTCTTAAATTTTGCCAAGAAATACAAAAAATAAGGTTTAAACGAAATAGAAAAAAGGTTTTCATCAAATTTTGATAACATTATCGCAGTAAAAATTTTGCAGATCTTTTGGGCCAAAATTATGAGTTGAGTGAACTTTCAAAAATCCGCACATTTCTTTTTATGTAGCCAGTTTCATTTAATGTTTCAGTATTGCCCTATTCTAGACATAAGTTATGTGGTTTTCAACAATATTAATCCAGATAGGCGCCTCTTGTTAAGAATACTTCTAAAACAATAGAGAAATTTCCTTCAAATGGGCATTTTCAAATAGTTTTTATACATCAGACAAGTCAACAGAATGTTTCCTACTGTGAACAGTTTGCAATATTTTTTTCAACAACATTCTCTGGGTTAATTGCAAATACAATTAATTAAACATATGTTATATACATTCACATGTCCCCCCCCCCCCTAAAAACCTAAAAAAAAAAAAATTGAGTTATCGCAAGACGGGTTCGAACAGACGGGCATATATAGGTCGTTTACACTTTTAAGTCGTATAGCTTTTAGCCATCTCGAATATCTCAGTTTTTGAAAATGTTA